TTTGACGTTCTTCAATACTTCAAATATCCGTCAAATTCTTCAGGTATACCGTTGAAGGTGAATGAGAGGTGCGAGATGCTCTGACTTGGAGGTACGGTAGCACGGTCACCGCCATCCTTGGGCGTCTCTCATACGATTCACGTCGGGACCTTCCTTTTCGAGCGTCGCACCCGCATTGTTTGTTTGCGAGCGTGCCAGTGCTTGCAGCACGGATACAGTACGTACTGAGGGTAAGGGTGACAAGTCAACGCGTACAATGTTTTGTCGCCTTCTCGCACTGGTGCTTGCCAAGACGACGCTTGGTAGACTAGCACATTAAAGCCCAAATGCTTCGCATGGCAAGCGGGTGTGTCAAGACTTCTTTGGAACTCGAGTCGCATCGCCATCTTTGAACATTTTGCCTAGTAAAGGGTCACTCGTAATCTATTTAGCACGCGACCTTCACTGCTCAGAGCCAAGCACCTCGCATGGATTCCATGCTGCTGGGGCTCACTGAAGAGATGACGATGTCCGCGGCACAATGGCTCGTACGTTGCCTCTGGCACGATGCTGTTATGATTGTGAAGGTAACGGAAGTACTAAAGCATACTTTGGCTTGATAGCCAGAACTCAGTGAGTCTTTCTTGCTTCCTGATGCTTCGCTCTATTGATGTCGATCAGTTACATGGGGATGAGTGTGAGCCGTTGCCATCCGGCCTTCACTATCACTTCGATTCTGAGGACACTCTCGAGTCCGGTGCTATATCGCTTGGGCCAGACCACGTCACTGCAGGTGGGAAAGCTCTACGCATTGGTGAAGCTGGCCAGGAGGTGCAGCGCTTGGCGCTCTTCATTCTTGTGTCCCTCATTCTGCGCACCGCGCTTCGAGTCCTGCGATCCGTGTCGTCTGATCGGCCTCGTGCTCTAGGGTTCTGTGATCGTTGACCATGCTTTCAGTGCGCAGAGATCCTATGCAGACTCTCGACCTTGCGGCACAGTCGTTGGCTCACCCTACGGAGCCTCACAGACATGAATTGTTGCCTCTCCTGATCCCACCCAGCTGTTAAGTCTGCTTGCTAATTATGCGTTTTCATCCACGTTCTGGACGGCGGCTCTCTGACCCTGCCTTGGAATGAGGGTCTTCTGGGCAGCATTGTCTGCCTTCCCTCCATGTGTCATGAAGCAAAGCGCGCAAGCCAAATCGTCACCTTCGCAGTTCGCCAAGCGACAGACGGTTGGCCCAATGGCCTAGACTTCGTGACTTGTCATCGGTCACATGGGAGGGACAAAGGAGAAGCATTGAGGGTGCGTCTTTCCGTTGGCCACGGAATCTGATCCGCTAAGTGCATTGCCCCTGCCGACAGCCGTCTTCCGGGAGTCCTGCACCCGACTCTACGCTCTTACATGCAGTTGCTGGATGGTCAGACTATCCCATGAGCGTACATGCCCGACGTGTCAAGTCGTAGTGCGGAAAGAGTGGACAATGGCAAGAAACATGCAAGGTGGGGGTGCGTTTCTGGGGGACGGCGGGGCCAAAGCACGGACTCCCCTATCTCGGGGTACGTTAGCTCCCCTTCCCATTCGAGCCACAATGGACGGATGCTGCACGCGATTAGCGGTCATCTCTCGCAAACTCTGACAAAGGCGGCGCGCGTTTTGGCTGGACAAACATATCCTCCTCTGTTAAAGTTCGACGCCCGCTCCGCTCTTGCGCGGTCAAAGCTATAAGGCTAAGCTTTGCGCTGAGAGTGGGCCACCCACTCTTTCCCCGTTACGCATCGTTTAGCCACCTTCGGTCCTCCGGCACTCTGCCCTCAAGCACTCGACCAACGAACGCCATTCAAGCGGCATCAACACTCGAACTATCGCAACATCGCCATTTCCTTTTCCCTCGACATCTTCACCATGTTCTCCCCGAAGCGCCCCGTGAACCAGATGCATGGCCCTCAGGGCGGTGTCAAGTTCACTCGTCCGTACGGCCAGACCAAGCTCCCGGACTTCCACCCGCGCAAGGCCTACCCAGTCCCGCCTCCTACCCCCTTCGACCTCCGCGGCGCTCGACGCGCCCAAATGCAACATGATAACGCCGGACCGTCCGCTCCTCCCGTTACCCCTCGCCACCGCCGGCCACGATCAGAAGCGACGGACTACCCGACACCGGAGGAGTTCAAGAAGATGCACTACCTTGCTCCACCGCCGAGCCGCCACCCTCCTCTCGTCGGGAACCAGATCTACGTCGACCGCGACGACGCCGTCCAGCCGCTCGTCGAGGAGCTCAAGTCCAAGGGCCCGCTCGACGAGGGGGACCAGCTCATGCTCCAACGCCTTGCCCATCTGCGCATCACGGCCACGATGCGCGAGTGTTATCACAATGAGGCCGCCGTCGTCGAGCACGCCGTCGCCGAGGCCCCCCTGCGCGAGCGCCAGATGAAGCTCCGTGCGGCCGCTGTCGCGAAGCTCTGGGAGCTTCGGGCGAAGAAGGAGAAGGAGCGGGAGCGCAAGCGTCGGGAGGCCGAGGAGCGCAAGCAACGGGAGGCTGAGGAGCGCAAGCAACGGGAGCGGTGGGAGGCGCTTCGGCGAGAGGCACAGCAGCAGGAGATGGAGCAGCGCCGGCGGGCAGACCAAATTCGCGAGCAGGAGGAGCTTCGCCGCAGGCAGGCGGAGGCGGAGGAACGGCGCCGTCGCGAGCGGGAGGAGGCTGAGCGCCTGGCCGAGCTGGAGCGGATCCGGGAGCTCCACATTCGGCACATCCGGGAACTCGAGGCGCAGAAGCAGAGGGAGGAGGAGATGCGCAGGCGGTGGGAGGAGCTCCAGACGGAGCGCGAACGCCAGATGCGCGAGGAGCAGGAGAGAGCTGCGAGGGAGGCGGAGGAGGCCGCACGTCGCGCGAGAGAGGAACAGGAGCGGGTTGCTCGCGAAGAGCAGGAGCGTCTGGCCCGTGAAGAGATGGAGCGGCAGGCCCGCGAGATCTGTCAGTTGTACGAGCTCAAATGGACCGAACTCAAGACGAACCGCGACCTCAAGAACATCGTCGGCTTCCACGAGTTCCCCTTCCCGGTGTTCGCCTACCAGCACGCCGATCCCGCCGAGATCACCTACGAACGCGTCCGCGAATTCCTCTTCCACCCATTCCGCTCCAGCATCGAGGGCAAGACGTATAAGGAAATCCTCAAGATTGAGGTTTTGCGGTGGCACCCGGACAAGTTCGACGCCCTCATCTGCCCGAAGATGAAAGAGGGCGAATGGGAGAGGACGAAGGAGGCGGCAGGGATGGTCGCCCGCTGGGTGACGAGGCTGATGGCGGAGGTATGAGCGATAGCCACCGCAGCTGGCGCGTACAGGCTACGCGGTCCGACTCTTCTTGACTGATAGCGTATTCAAATACTTCCAGGATCTCTTGATTGTATATCTTAGATGTCTCTGCCATGCGGCACATATCCTCAAACACTCGTTTGTTCACTGTTTCTTTGCACTCACTCACGCTCCTTACCTCGTTACTTCTGTATTACCTTAGGTTATTAAGCAATGGAATATTCTTTCCTATGACTGAAAATGGGTATGAAACGCAGGCGTGATCAAATTTGAAGGGATCTGATACGCCCTGCCAAAGGCCTTGTTGAGCGGAATCGCTATGGAACGGTGTAGATTCCGTCTGCAAGCCAGATAATAGAGAGTCCACTACCGCTATGGCATGTTCTTGTCTCTTATTATGGCAAGTTCTATTGGAGTCGTTGGGAATAGGCGACAATTACTGTAAGTAGCTGGCCTTTGGAGCGCGGTCAAGCGAGTACAGTACTTGCTGCTTTCAAGCGCCCTCCAGAAGTGGATGTGCACACACAGCACAGCCACAACTTGTGGTCCCACACCGCAGCCGCACAGCGTTTGTTCGTTTCCGTTGCTGGCGGCAATGGCACTCAACTGCCTCCTGATGTGTACTGACACTGCTAGCACTGAATGGTATGCTTTTACGCTATCTTTTGAGCCTGCCTTGCTCTAGGTCACACCGCACGAGCTTGAATCCGGAAGGTACTCGTATTTCCTGTCGCAGTGGAGTCAAGAGGTAAATGACATCACGTCGCCAAGCCTGAGGAGTCCCGGCCTACCGATAGGCAGGGTTCCAATGTTCCATATGCCAGGTTGCCAACGCTGTACATGCTGATATCACTGTATGCTCCGTGGAGCCTCCGCTGCAAGTTGATGCTTGGCTCTCGCCACTCCGCGTCATGGTTAAGACGTCATGGGCACTATCGGTATATAATCCGGACGGGGTGAGCTGGGTTCTTCAACTGACCCAACACCCATACTTCGTATCACCACAACACCTCGTCACGACTTTTTACGACTCACATTCTAACGTTAACTTCCACCTTTCAACAATATGGTACGTTCGTCCGTTACGCGACCAGTCCGACTAAGGCGCTGAACTTCGGGACGTGATTAGGGATCTATCGTTTCTGCTATTGGCTCTGCCATTAACGCTATCATCTCCGCCATCGCGAACGTCTTCGAGACCATTGTCTCTGCGATTGTGACCGTGCGTATCCCTTTCGCTCGCCACTGAATGGCGAAGGTACACGTTCACTCACCTCTGGTGTTTCTGATAGGTCCTTGTCGCAATCTGGGACTTCATCCTCTGTATCCTCTGCTGCAGATGCTTCACGGGCACGGACACCGCAGGTACAGGATATGGAACGGGCGCAGGCACAACAAGAGGACGTCGCCGAGGGTTCGGAGGAGGATTCGGTAGGCGCAGGGCAGGTGCATCGGCCACCTATTGAGTCGGATGAGTTTCTTGCCTTGCGCGCCTCTGATTAGACCGTTGTATGATGGACACTGTGTGTTGGATACCCTTGTATGAAGCTCTTGTATCCATACATACCCTTTTAATGCCCAATAAACCTGATGAACCAAGATATCGCCCTTGCTACTATTCCCAGTATCAGGCGGGTCTCGTCTAAGTCTACAGTAGCAGCGTTCCAGAGTCGAGAGGTGTTGAATTAGTCAACCTTAACGCTAATGGTTCCCGTTTAGCTCAGTTGGTAGAGCGCGTCACTAGTACGGCCAGGAGGTGGTGCGATGACGAGGTCAGTCGTTCGAGTCGGCTAATGGGAACGGTTTTTGGGCTCCTTGACGAAGTGATCCGGTGTATACTGTACAGTAAATGGACGGCAACGTCAATGCGCTGCAGCGAAGAAGTTGAGGAATCCATGTTCTCTCTCTACATCACCCGATGCCACCTCCGGCCATACCACGGCCAATGCATCGAGACACAATGTCTATTTATTGTTCACTGACGTAAGCACGAGGTCCCTCAAGCCTACAACCGAAACAACAACAAGAAGGGAAGAACAAGGAGCGATAACGACCGCTTTCCACCGTTTCCGAGAAGGTTGAGAACGTCTCAGCATTGAACAGGCAAACGAAGCAGGAAGCGTTCGAAGGGCAAGGGAACGAGAAGAGCCTATCGTCCAAGCGATGCGTAACAAGGGACAGAAAATGTACGTACAGCGCGCAAGGGTGGCATGCACCGGTCGTACGAGCATGGCCCATGCGTTCGAAGAAAATTAGAATAAAAGTGTACGCGAGACTGAAAGGGGAAAGAAATATACAATACGTCCACAGCGCTCTACCGCATGCAATTTCTACCGGGTTCTGTTCCCGTGCGGCGCAAGTGATGGCCATACATGGGAATCGAAAAGACCCCGGCGTGAATAGATATCCGTGCTGGTGACCGTTCTCGTCATGTCGTACGTCGTCGTTCGTCGTCATCTTCATCGTCGCCGCAGACGACTAATCGTCTACGCGTTTTTGTACGTTTCATGAAGTTTCGAGTGGAGCGAGCGGGACTAGGGATTAGGGGAAGGCGTACGATCGGGGTGTCGCGTGGCACGTCGAACTGGGTGTGATGGAACGGGATTGGGTTGTTGCTCATTCGCTCACGAAGTACAACGCCTGCGCGGCGGCACAAGCATATCAGCGACGTGAACGCGCGCAGTAGACGGACGACCGGGGTCAAGACAGAGAGGCACTCACCACCTCCGTCACCGGGTCATCCGGATGTGCCTTGTTGTACGCGTCTACGTCCCCGGTCAGGACCAGCGAGCCATCGTGCGCGCTATACGCGACGCGCGTCTTCGGGTGCGAGCCGTCAGGGTTCACCCAGTGCGCTACACATCGCCACGACCACCCGAGGGCACAGTTCCCTCGTCAGCGCACTTGTCACCAGCCCCGAGCGCGCGGGGAGGAAGAGCGCAGATGACGTACCGGTCAGCGCCTGGCTCGACGCGTCGAACGTCCAGATCGTGGACTCGCCCCCGGTCACGGCTGGCCGCGCGTGGGGTGCCGCTGCAGAAGAGCAGAAGAGCAGAAAAGAGGGTTTGGGTTAGTACGGGCGTATGGGGTTGCAAGCGCGTGGGGCGCAGCGCAGGAGGGTTGCGGCAGAACGATCGGAGCGCGAGAGCCTCTAGCGCTCCCAGAGACGACGTCCTGCCCGCGCTGCGCCAGTTCGGGCTGTCCAGCTGCCGCTGTTCATAACGGAGCCAGAGGCCAGGACGCCAGTAGGCACTCAAGCGGGGCGCGGCACGGGCGCCACATACCGAGAGGTGACGGCATGCAGTAATGGTCGCTGCAGTGCAGCGCGAGATGATAGGGGACGGAAGGAAGGGTTAGACTCACTCTGCTTCACGTTGCCGAGCGCTACCGTGCTGTAGTGTGGAGAAGGAGGCAGATGCGTGTCAGAGATCCAAGTTCCGAATAAGGAGAAGCGCGCACATCCAGATTTCTGGTGTACGTACTTTGCGGAGCCGCCGCCTAGGGCAGAAGTGCCCGTTGCGCCGATGAACGCCGTCTCTTGTGTTGACGCGGTCGTCTCTGCGTCCGACTGTTGACGTTGGCACACGGTGCCGGGGTGAGCAAGCCGCGTCATCTACAAAGATGCGAAAGACGTACGGTTGTTCCCGAGACGACGTTGTTGATACTGAAGAGCGTGTTTGACCCAGATGTGGTGAACGTAACATGAGCGCTGTCTTTGTCGCCGCCGAGGCTCCTGTCGTCACGTAGCCAGCAGCGCATCAGGATAAATGAAAATCAGGCACCGGCGCTCGACATGAGCTATGATTTGATTGAGAGCGAGATGCGCCAACTTGTGCACTCACACGCCGGACGATGAGACCCGAAGGTATCCTACGGCGTCGTTGCTTCCAAGGTGGCGCGCGACGATGTGCCCGGCGTAGCTGGTCGGAACGCTGGCGATAGACCACACCGCATCGTTAGCACAAGTCCAGCCTCCCAAACTCGCGCGACTCACGGTTTACCCTTCGAGAGCGCGAACGGGCTAGGGCTCGGGCTGGGAGCAGAACGCTTAACCGGGGCGGGCACGAAGACGTTCCCGCTAGTGGAAGTGGCGCGCTTGAAGGTGCGCGGAGCACGCGGGGGAAGACCCGCCGCGAGCCGTTGTGCATTCGTCCACTGATCAGCAGAGCGCACGGACTTGACGCGCGGCGGCGACTTGATGCTCGGGGGAATGCTTAGAGCGAACACGGGCGAGTGCGCTACGAGGAGACATAGCGCGAGCACGAGCGCGGAAAGAGACGAGACGCTCGGAAGGTGCATCACGTCTCGGATGCGTGCTGGAGAGAGGAAAGAGATGACGAGGAAGGTGAAGGAGCGGACGGGGAGGGGGGCAGAACGCGACGACGTGCAAGAGGAAGTGGGGAAGGGTACGAGGACGGGGACGAGTGAACGGAACACAATGCGCCGCACTTACATAGCGTGCGCGAGGCCTTGGCCAGGACGCCAAAAGCAGACTTCGAACGGCCCCACGAGGAGAATAATCTAGATCGCATAAACGGGCTTGCGGCGAGAGCATGGCGGCACGCACTGGCCCCGCTCCCCGGATCAGGGTTTGATGGCTGTACAGGAGAGGAATCGCCGCTTGCGGCGAAGCGCTTTGACTCTGGTTGGCAAGACGAGGCGCCGCATTATAGTGCGCTCCGTCTTCGGGCGGGGAAGCGTTCAGGAAAATATTGAAGCGTGAACTACATCCATGTACAGCGCCTTGATCTCGCAGACCATGAATGACACGCTCGGACCGTCGCCGTGCATCGTCCACGCGGACGGTGCGCGCCGATGGCTCAAGCAGAAACCATGAGCCACTCGGCATCTGTCCAAAGACACGGCGATGAGCCAACACCGCCGGTGCCTTTGTACGCAGCGCCAACTGCGAGGTGAGAGGACTCAAGGGCCGTGAACACCGCGCCCGGCCACCCGCCCAAGAATCGCGCAGATGCCGTCGAGAACGCCAAACGAGATGGCCTGACATCACGAAAGCGCGAAAAGAGGGCAAAGAACGTTCGAGAGATGCTCTGGGGCGGTGAAATGCGCTAATGGGAACGACGTGCGAACAGAAGGAGAGGGGACGTTACACGAGGCTGGCCGATGGCGAAAGAGGAAGTGAGCGTGTGCTCCATCACAGACATTCGGAGAGATGCGGTCCGGGCGAGCGTACAAGAACGCGAACACGCACTTGAATCCAAGTGTCTGTTGAGTGCTCGGTACAGGACGGCGCATGTGAGAGCGGTCACAGCGTTGCGCCTTACAATATCGATCAGGTTGAAATGCAGCTTGAACTCGAGAGCGTGCATGTCAGTGATCCAAGCAGTGAACGGTTGTATTTTAGGCGCACAGCTTCTTCTCAGCACGTGAGCGGGAATGCATATGTGCGCGCGTCGCGTCCCGGGGGCTGTAGGACGAAAGCGAGAGGATGGGAACGTACATGGGAAGGACTTGCCCCTTAGGCATGAATGACTTGTTGCGATAATCGATTCAGCTACTGTACATGTTACATACAACAGGCGTAGACAATGGTCTGGCACACCTTAGCCAATGACAATGATGGTCAACTATCCACGTTCAATTTCAGGATGCTCGAGTTTCGGTCACCTATAAGTATGAGTAATAATCATTGGGCGCCGGCGATGACTGTGAAACATTATTCCTCCTGTGATTATTGCTTCATTGCATCTGCAATCAGCTCGCACGCCGGGGGAGTCAAAACACCCTACTTGGAGTACTAGTAACTCCAACCATGTAAAGGAGAGAGACCACGTTAAGGAGAAAACAGCAGTGATATCAATGACGTTTCAGGGACAACACACTACACGATAACCTTGACTCGGGTCAGGTCGACCCTCTAAGACCTCCGACATCCAAGAAGTTGACCATCTTCGGCCATCAGGGTACTCTCATGGCCCAGGAGACCGGCCAGAGGAAAGCTAGCAGAACTCAGTCAGTGGAGGATGCGCTGCGGAACTATTGTCAAGGCTCCGCATGCGATTCACTTGGAGATGCATGCTGGTAGTACGCGCCGAACTGTGAGTTGGACTCGCGGAGCTGGCAATGAATGAGTTTATAGTCATCAAAAGACAAAGCCGAATCGTCTGTGGGCCCTTCATCGACCCTACGGAACGACGCACAGCGGTCCACTTGGAAGATCACCACCGCTGCAACGGGAGAAGCGCCACAGTTGTGCGCGATATTGAAGGTTCAGCTGGTTGAGCTTGACCTGTGAGATTGACCTGAGTGGGACAAGCACCGACCCAATGAACTCTAACACACGAACAGGGACACCAGGACTGTCCCAGTCCGGACAAGGCAGGTCAAAGACAAGATCACTATCCGGCCAGTGGATTCTGCCGTCGGAGACGTCAGTTTATATAAACGCATAGTACACAATAGAAATGATGAACGCACCGCAATTCGGCGCCGTCAACCTCCCAGACATACCAGCTCACCGGGGTAGTCGATGCGACTACGGGTGCATCCTTCCTCAAGCGGTGCTTGAATGAAAGATACAACGCCTTGCCCTCTTGGGACAGCCGTGAAGATCGGATGGCCCAGCCTCGCCCCGTATTTACAAAGACCCACTGTTCACCAGATAGTCCGCCCCACGAGGTAAGAGACCTCACTGAACAGTCCAACAAGAAAGCGGGAGGCGTACTTGTTGATTTTCTTCACCGTGGTACAGATGAGCTGCAACGATTCCTGACGTGTCCACGTCGAGTGCAGTCCCACTTGCGGCATTCAGCAAGACATAAGAACCGGTCGCCAGCCAA